TCGGGAGTGAGGGGACTGGCAGAGCTGGGGGTGCAGAGCTGGGCTGGCAGGGAGTGAGTTTTTGAATTTCCTGTATGATCTCACTTACCTGCTGGTAATTTTTTGTTTCTGTGATGTCCACCATCACCTTGTTCTCCCAGAGATACACCGGCACCCCGTTCTCAAAGTTCTCCTTGCGAGGCAGACAACCTTTTAGGGTGTGCAATTTGCCGTGCCGGCTGCCTTTAAGGCTCAGGTTCATCTCGTACTGGATGGGGACCAGGAAGTCATAGTCGCTGTCGCCGGACTCTGCTAGGACGTGGATGCCCTGGGCTCGGCTGCCCACAAGGATGGGTTCCTCCATGAACAGCAGCACATTCCGCGTAGGCTCCCGAGCCAGGATCGACTTTTGGGACTTACACACTGAAGCGATGATGTCCCTGACCACATCTTGCACCGGCTGGCGTGCCTGCTTCCACAAGTGATAGACCATGACCGTCTGGGAGGCTAGACGACACAAAGCCTCTTTCTCTTCCATTTCTCCTGGCCCCTGGGCACCATCCTCGGATTTGTCAGCCATCCCCGCGGGGCACAGATGGGTCCTGGCAGGGCTGAGCTCCCGTTAGTCACTCAGAAACTCTTCCAGTTCCGCACTGCACTTCCTGTAACAGCACCTCCAACGCTGGCTGGTTCCTGCCCGGGGCTGAGCTGCGAGGGGGAGGCTGTTTGCTGGTTATTTGTACCAGAAGCACCTTTGGCCTCTGACTTACTGGAAATGATAATACGAGAGTAAATGGTGAGTCATTTGGAGACAAAGTTCACTTCTCGCAGACTCGTAGTTTCAGTAGCCCAAGGGAGAGCCGGTGAGCGTCTGCTGAGCCGTCCTGTACCGCACAGGCCAGTGGCTGCCCTGAATTAATCCTTGTTTGCACTAAACCCCAGTTCATATTGGCAAGCTGGCTGGAGCGGCTCAAGAACGTGAGTGCCAACCTCCGGGCAGACCCCCTCCTACACTCCATACCCCTGCCCCGGCCCTGCCCCCTCCCAGAGCCAGCACCCTGAACCCCCTCCTGTACCCTGGATCCCTGTGCCAGCCCTGACCCCCCTCCCAGAGCCAGCACCCTGAACCCCCTCCTGTACCCTGGATCCCTGTGCCAGCCCTGACCGCCCTCCCAGAGCCAGCACCCTGTACCCCCTGCCCCAGCAACCTGAACTCCCTCGTGCACCCCAAACCCCCTGCCCCCGCAGGAGCCTGCACTCCAGACCCCCTTCTGCACCCCAAA